ACAGCAAGGAGGTCCAGTGTGAGCTGCAACTCTCAGAAAGGAGCCATCATATTTAAGTCAAGGGCAGTAAACTTTCTAAACCACTGGATAAAGTTTTGGCCCAGTTCAGAGATGCCAACAGTAGATAGGAGGTGTGGCGGTAGATGTGTCAGTGGCAGGGGGGAGGGGAGTGGACAATACCATTACAGTATCTGACATTATTTACCTCTTAATTCTTGCAACAAGCATTCTACCTATTGTGTGTCAAGCATAGTTCAAGGTTCTTAAGAGTAGGTTGCAGAAATGGCCACAAATTCCTCTTGACAATGTGACTTTGCAGCTCCTCTCAACAAGAGGTGAAATCTATGTCTCTACCCCTTGAATCTGGTCTTGCCCTCATGACTTATTTGGACCAATGGGACTTTAGTAAATGTGATGCAAGCAGAGGTTTGGTGATAGCTTGTGCATCAGGACTTTCATTTCTCGCTATGCTGTGGAGCCACGACCATCAGGTGAAGAAGCCTGAGCTAGCCTACTGGAGGATGAGAGGCCATGTGGAGCAGAAGCGAATCATCCCAGTTAAACCCATCCCTCAGATCAACCAGCCTGCCAACTTCAAGACACATGAGGGAAGCCTCCTAGACTACACCCAGCCCCAGCCAGGCTGACCCAGATCCTAAGAATTGCCCAGATGATCCACAGAGTTGTGAGAAGAAATAAATGTGGTTTTAAGCCATAAAGTGTGGGAGTTTTTATGCAGCAAAAGTTAACTGATACTCCCTCTAAAGGAGATATACCAATGAGAACAGCATCTCTGCCCTCAAAAGCTAGTTCACTATCCACTGGGGAAGAATTAGAGGTAATCAACTAAGTCAATAGCATCATTGGTCCTTTTAGGGGCAGAGGGATGCTGACTGCTCTGGAGTACTGAGTATGGCTTTCCACAGGTGGCGCCATTGACCTGGATTTCGAGTAGAACTTGGGTCTCCTGACACTGAATCTTGCCCTCCTTCCACTCCGACCCGCTTCCTTGACAGTCCTGGGCCTTTTCTCATGTCTGAGCTTGGCTGGCAGCAGGAGCCAGCCAACCTGAAACACCATCTCAACCTTCCAGGTAGTGTTTGGTCCTTCCTAAAATCACTAAAATTAGGAAAGTGTCCCCAAATAACCAAGTAGATATTACAGGGCAGATCTATAATCCCAGGGGAGAGAGTTTCGCATCATACTCCGTAATTTATGGGAATGCCCCATGCTTGTTTCTGCCTCCATTTTAAGAGAATATTTGAAAAAGCCCTTCCCTGCTTATTTTCAACCGTGATCCTTCCTGTATGGCCTAGGGAAGATGTTGGGGAGAGTGTCTGTCCCAATTCCTAAATCCTGGTCTGCTCCTTTTGTGTGTTACTTTCTACCTGCTAGACTTCAAGGCAGTACTTCATGTGCACCAGCCCTGCTTAGGTGAGAGAAGGGCCAGCAGACCGCACCCAGATCCCCTAGACTGCAGAGTACCTGCTGGGAATCAGGGCGCTCAGAGCCTATGCAGTGGTCCACAGCCCACCTAGCCAGAGGGCTGATCATTTCCCCCCTGCACTTGTTTCATCAGCAGACCCCAAGCACTTCTGCTGACGGGCTCAGAGCTGTGGCAAAGCTTCCTTCCTCTTTCTGTGCTTGCCTCTCCCGCCATATTCCTCCATCACCCCAACCAGGCTTGCTCAGTTTAAGATTGCCCTCCGTTTGAAAAACAAACTGAGGGTTCTAGAGGGGGGGGGGGGATGGGTTAGCCTGGTGATGGGTATTAAAGAGGGCACGTTCTGCATGGAGCACTGGGTGTTATATGCAAACAATGAATCATGGAACACTACATCAAAAACTAATGATGTAATGTATGGTGATTAACATAACAATAAAAAATTTAAAGAAAAAAAAGATTGTCCTCCGTTATTAAAAAATGGTCACAGTCATTGTCCAGGGCCTAGCCCCTACCATGTAAGATGCTCAGGTCAATCTTACCATTTAGACTAATCTGGCTAAAGTTCAATTTTGGGAAGAAAAAAATAAATTTAGTAACAGATGTAACCAAGAAAAGTAAGCTGGGGAGACTCATTAGTAATTGTCAGCAACACTAAAGAATACCAATTGCTGGAATTGTGTTTGAGCGGTGAGGGTATTAAATTTTGATGTCTGTTTCACACACACACACACACACACACACACACACACACACACACACACACAC